GTCAACATGTCCGTTAAAGTTTAAATCTTCCGGACAAAATTAGAAAAATGCCGGTCAAAGGTCTTCTTTGTTATTTATTGAGCTTTAAAACAAATGAATAATGACTCTATATAATCATATATAAGAATAAAACACGGAGGACGGAGATCTCTTTTTGTCCTCCTCTTCTCCCCGCTGCAGCCTAGCAGCTGATCTCAAAGCACGCTCCCCTCTCCTGCAGGGGGGCGTGGTCAGCTGCAGCTCACAGAATCAGCCCCCTGCAAAAACAGGGCTGGAAAGAGCATATAGAGCGAAATGAGGCATGGCTAAAATGCAGGATCTGTTTGGTATTGTGAAAAAAAAAAAACAACTATATTTATATAGGTATGGCCCTACAATATATTGTTCAAATATAGCATGATAGGTCACCTTTAAGTCATTGATTGTTAAAATCGCTGCAGTTATTATCCAGTGGAATGCCCTTACCTGCTGGCCTAGATTTTTGGGCGGGGCAGTGTAGTTTTACACAACGTCTTATTGGACTTTCTCAGGACTTCAAACTGTTTTTGGGGGGCAGACCCTCACAAAGAAAAATAAATACACACATAAGGTCATCATCTTAACAGTTTTTCATGCTCATCGAGTCATCCGTGAGCAGAGCATCAAGTTGTCAAGCCTATTACAGCTGAATGCGGTGATTACCATCTTGTTCAGCAAAACGCCTCACAAACCTATTAAGATCTAAAGCTTTAGTGCGTTTTGATTCAATGCTGAGTACAGCCAAACTTGACAGTCTATTCTCTGTCACCGTCCCGTTCATGAATGAAATCGCCGCCAATCACATTTCCATGCTAGCGCCAGGGCCGGGGGAGGGGTTACAAGGATCGAGTCTTGTGCTGCATTCACTTGCACTCGGACATTAGGGATTTTCTCTCATAAATGTCCGATAAGCCAAACTTTTCATTCAAAACAAAGCTAATTTTCCGGTCCAAATATTATTGCTGGCGGGCCAACAATGGCCCGTGGGCCGCCTGTTGCCGACCTAGCTAGGGTGTTGAAAATCCTCCTAACCTGTGATGACGTCGCTAAGTTTGTGCGTGTCGTCTTTGTGTTTGCTGAAGAAGTCAGCGAGGCCGACGATGATGAGGCCCACAATGGTAGTGAGGATGCCGAGCCACTGGCTCTTCTGCAGCCGTCGGCCCAGGAACGTCACGGAGAGCAGGCCGGTGAAGATGATGACGGCTCCCCGCAGCATCTGGAAGCTGGAGGCGCTGGTCATGTTGAGAGCTGCAAAAAAAAAAACACGAAGAAATGTGTATTAATAGACATAAATAATCTCAATGCTGCTCTAAAAGGCTAAAAGGTATTGGCTGCATACCACGCAGAGAAAAACAACATTATCTTTGATCTAATTATCTTCTTCCTGACGAATGGATTTTTTAAAACAGAAGTAGATAATCTGTTGTGTTTTTGCAAGTGTGAACGAGGTCATTACATTTGACCTTTGAAGGACAGAATAGATCAGGACACAAGTTTCAAATGCTAATGCCAAAAAACATCACATGACCACTGTGGAGTCTCTCGTCACTGTTACCTAACCTCCAGCAGGTGTTTTTGTTTGTTTGTTTGTTTGGGTCACTTACCAACATACATGATGCAGGTGGCCGTCATGTCACACATGGCGGGGGCGAAGAAGAGCAGAGGGTGGAAGTCCTGGCCGGGGTTTATCCGGGGCTCGGGTCTACGTCTGTCAGTGCAGATTAAAATGTAGAAGACGGCGAGACAGCTGAACTCCCCCATAAACATTCCCACCGCCTGGACAGAGAGAGGGGGGAGACATGGATTATAATTCACCTTTTGATTTAAATAACTACCGATTGGATTTAATTTACAGCTTATAATTGAACAAATGCATTGTTTGACTTTAAATGCATATACATTTCAAGAGGTATGATTATTTTAAATGAGGGCTGGATACTATCTCATTCTCAACAGTTTCCAAATGTATGTTGGTGCAACGCTTGGCTAACATATAAACACGTTTACTTCTATAAAACCAGCTCTTTAAATAAAAGAAATGCAAGCCGAAGTTCGAAAAAGACTTAGGCAAACATGATTTTAGCTATTTCATATTAGTACCAGTAACAGTATTTGATAATTAGTGCGAATGATGTGCACTATATTTCCTCTGTTTCTTTAATCATCTTCTTCTTATTATTATTATTTCAACCAATATTTTGCTGTCGAATAACTTCAGCCAACTTTCAGCTACAGAAACCATTCAAATATCAAAAATGTTCAGCCTTTTCAAACTCTTTTTTTAACATGTAACTCAATGGGAGGAACCTTCAAACCCTCTTTTACCTACACCGTGCGCCAAATGCTACTCCTTCCACATACTTTCAGCTAGAGACTTCATTCCAACTTTAAAAACGGTCACAAGACCTTCAGCTATTAAACTTGTTCTTCAGATTTCTGATATATTTTACACTTTGAGATATTTAACTTAACTTGGAGCTTGGTAAAGAGGCCTTCTTCAGATTTTAACATTAGTGTGTATTGCGCCGCTCATTAAGTCTAGAGTGCTTTGAAAAACGTAGGAAAACTTCTCCTACGTTGGAAAATAAAACAAATGCCTCTTGAGGGCATGAAGTGACAACAACTTTCAACATATATCCATTAAGGCCCTTAACGCCTAAAAGGTGCGTTCACACCAAGTACTTTTCCCACAAAGGTTCCTGAGAACTACGATTTAGTTGCGTTCACACCAAAAAGTCCCAGGAACTAAATTAGTTCTAGAGAACCTTTATTACCCCCTTTTCAGTCCCTGCTAGAGAGCAGGGACTTTCGTGGGAGAAAAAGTTTCCCGTGTCTGATCGGCTGGGCGGAATGCAAACCACGCCCCGTCAAACTCCCAAAAACTTTTGTGAAGCTGCAATTTTATTATCCTCGCATTGCATTATTAACATTAGCCCAGCGCAGAAACGCAGAGAGACTAACTTATGACAACACAAAATAAAACATGGGAGCGGTGGAGATGAGGAGGTGTCGGCGTTCTGGCGATTTACTCGGAAGGCTTCAGTAGAAGCTGCTGGGAGTGCCAGCAGCTTCTACTGAAGCTCCGGGGGACTTCCGGCCGGGGATTTTGGGCGGCAGTATACGCCATGAAGTTGTTTGCGGCCTGCCAGTAAACCCAAAGCAGAAGAAGAAGAAGTGACGTCAGCGGCTTAATTTGCCTAATCCATCAGGAACTAATTTCCGGTGTGAACGCGATATGTACTTAGTTCATGAGAACTAAAGAGTTCTCAAGAACCTTTGTGGGAAAAGCACTTGGTGTGAACGCACCTATTGTAAATTCAGCCTGATCTTTCCTCAGAGCAGCAGCTGCACACCTTTAGTAAATCTGCCAAAAATGCCACATTATTGACCCGAAAGTACACAAAAAGCACACTCAGACGCTCCACAGGGTCCTGACATGCTCCAAGCGTTGACATTTTACTGAAAGCAGCTACCGTTTTAAAACTATAGTTAGAAATGTAAGAGGTTTATTTCTCATTCAGAACAATGGAAAGGCTCTCCTTTCACAGCACATCTCCATGGAAACTTTTGATCTCTGGGCTCACACACAGGTGTTTGATAACGTCGTCAGCTCAAACGCAAAGACACAGGCTGGAGTTTAAAGACTGTCTCAGCCTATTATTTTCTGTCTGATGGAGACTTCATACTGACTTCAATATGTTCCACATATTTTATACATTATTGGTGACGTATGGTTTTAGTTTGCAGTTAAAATATTCTGATGCTTTTCAAAGCGTTTTTACTTTCTTTTCTCTTCTTAATACACACTAATTCACTACTACTTACATTTAATATCTAACTCCTTCAGCCTACTTTCAGCTACAGAAACCATTCAACTATTAACTTATTCAGCTATTTCAGGACATTGAGGCTATACATGTTGTTGTTTATACCTTTTTTAAAACCTTTTCTTTTAAATATTAAGCTTCTTCACTATTTTTCCTACTCTTCCAGTTTAACATTTCAAGTTTTCAACAAAGTCACTGCAATGCATTTGAGCTGTAACAATTTTAATTCAAATCATTTCACTTTTCTGCATTTCTCCGCTAAGTTCAGCAACACACTTACTTGGTCTCTGTAGCTAGAAGCAGCTACAGAGACCATTCAACTAATAAAATATTCAGCTTTTCAGCAAAATTCAGCAACAAATGTACACAGTTTACAGCATTCACACGCATTTTCAGCAGGAAATGCATTTTCTAGTTGTGTTACAGACACACTTTGAAGAAATAATTGAGGTTCAACCGTTTTTTCCCTTCTTTGGGCAAATGGGATACAATACAGTCACCTGCAGTTTATTAATTTACCTGAACAAACGGGTGAGAAAAAGCATGTACGGGTTCATCATGGCATCCCTTCGCTGAGAACATGTCCGCCCATCTGTCAGACAAGGAGAAGTTATTCAAATGTAATTACGTCTACTTCATAAATCCAAGTAAGCATATAAAACACCTTGCTATCTTTGTCATTCATATATCATATTCAACTGGAAATATGTGTTGTTTTTTATTTTTATTTTTTTAGGCTGTAAGAAAATGATCCCATGTATTTTTCACTTTTTTCTGATATTTTATGAATCAAATCTGGAAACTGATAAATGGAAAATAACTCAGATCTACACCCACTATATTTGTAACTATTTCAGTACGTTTAAAACATCTATGTGGGTCTGAAAATGAGTTGTGCAGCAAACATTTGGAAGTCTTCCTGACCAACAGCTAACATTTGTTCCACTGCGCCCGCACATAAAACCCTTTAAAGTCAGACCAAATGATTTGATGAAGTTAATGAGTAAGAGCATATTTTATTGTCAGCGAGTCGGAGGAAGCATGATCAGCATGTGAGCGTCCTGTCTGCTGCAAAATGCAAGACAAGGGAATGTGGTCCTGAGATGTGATGACGCAGCACTTCCTTCAAATGTCACAACTTCTGAGCTCATCAATACAAGAAGGAAACTTGATCCAAATCTGCTACTCTTGCTTATTTTGTGGAAACTGGTCACACATTTTTGCATTAAAGCAAAGAGGGAAGTAACACCAAACTATCGACCAGTCTAAATGCTATGTAGGGCTTTAATAAACTCAGTGAGGCAGCGCTGTGACGATGCTGGTGTCAGGTGACTGCAGTGAAACTCTGCCTGTTTGTTTCTGATATTCTTCTCTGAGCGACATGACACAACTTGCTTTGTCTGACACATTACCTCTCAAACAGTGATTCATTTAACATTTTGGGGTTTTGTTCATCTGGCAAAACTCACAAAAAGACAGCAGCCGCGTGTTTCAGGATGCAGAGAGCTGACATCACAGATTATTGGGGAAGTTAAAATAGCTGAGTTTCTTGTTTCACCAAAAAAGGAAACCTCTTCCTATCGTGACAGCAATAATAGAGGACTCAACTGAATCAGTGTGATAAATTAGTGCAATAAATAATTCAAGCTATCCATCAAGAATAAAATACAAAATAATCTTTTGGGGATTTGGACATATTTCTAAAAGGTCAAACGGTAAAACAGATACATTGAAAAATGTATCCGCAGGTAAATGGTTACAAAATAAAACACATTTGCAGCTCTTACTAGGATAATGGTTGGCATTTCAAATCAAACTTTTCACAGAAAATGATCTCAACAAAAATGTTCAAGAAAATAATTTACTGTATTATCAATGATTTATGTGCAAAGGGCAGGACTGGGTTTGCATGAGCAATTATAAAAGCCACATTGAAAGTTTAAAAAGTCATATCACAACCAAACAGATGTTTCTCTCATTGAACATAAAGGTGCATTTTGGACTATTGGTTGAACAAAACAAGTCATTTAAAAACATGTCACGTTTTTTTAATACTATTTTCTGATTAAGTGAAAGTCCAAAGTCAGACTTTATAGAGATGAAAATGTCTGTTAGCTGCTGGATTTACCTGTGACCTACAGAAAGAGGCTATTCCCTTTTACCAGTCTAAAACACAGATAACGCGTGATAAAGGCGTTATACCATTACAGAGCAAGATCATGTGAGATAACTTCAGTCACTTCACTATAGTATGCGCATAATGAATTGCTTCCTGGCAGCAATCTTATTAAGTTTGTCAAAACAAATCCTAATTTATATCCTCACACACATTAGCTTTCTGTAGCTTCCTTTCACTCAGCCTGATATGGATGTTTATTAGCCGTCTGTAAAGCTAACAGGCTAACAATGCGTTAACACATAATAATAATAGTTAAACATGTAATAAATTAGCTAGTGTGGCTCTACAATAGCTTGATAATTCGCTAAAAAAGCACTTAAACTAAAAACCGTTGACTTGCAGTGTTTCAACTGTGTACCAGCTGTTTTACCGGTGAATTACAGTGAAAGGTTAACTGTAAACACATGACTCCAGTATAAAGACTTCATCCAATTTACTCACTTTGCCGATAATGTGTTGAGAGAGCCGGTTGTTAGCATAAGTCCAGCGAGGAACAGCTGGTATTTAGTCCAGGCCATGATGCAGTGTGAGCGGGACAAACACACCGGGAACACCGAGCTGTTGTTTGTTCGTTTGAAGGAACCCCGGTTGTTGTTCACTCAATTCTCCGTGGGATCTACTCTGACTTTAAACGCCACATGACCACAGTCAGCTGACCGCACCCGGATGTGACGCAATGATTGATAGGCGAAAGTAAACAGTATTTCTATTTTTATTTTTTAAATGTGCTCTTTTATTACTTTATATGTTTACCCTTGGTGTCCAATGTTTTGTATATAACATATAAGTGGTTCATATATACTATTGAATAAAACAATACACTTTTACTCAATATATCTATCCAAAAAAGTAAATTATTATTTCTCCAAATATTAAGATATATAATTGTCTTTTTTTTAAATGGTGAACCAGAAAATGTTACGCTTTTGTTATGCCATCGTATACATTTACGTGTAAATTTTATTTTTGAAAGATTTAATTAAAAAAATCATACTCCTGTTTCTCTGCACCATAAGGTTGAGTAATGTGTAGAGTACCTGTATCAAATATTTGTAAATTTGCATTATGGGTGAACAGCAGGGGGCGCTAAAGACCAGATAAACAGCCAGGATTTGAAAGTGGGACCACAGTACATTTTCCCCATCTGTGGCCTCACATTGCTTAAAATTAGAACATGCTCTCACTTTCCCATGAGGATGGCTCAGCGCCTACTGTCAATTTCAGGCTTTTCAAAAACCGAAAAATGAAGGGCCGATGTCAAGGATATACATTTGAATTTAAGTTAAGTAGGGATCTGTAGGTTAATAGCTTTAACCCTCCAATTGCAGTGCACACACCAAATGGAAGAAAAGTTAAGATTTGTATATGAGCTCTTCTCTTTGTTTCACTCTCCTCAGTCTTCTCTCTTCCAGACAGCTGATGAGATCAAGGAGACGCTCGCTCTGTATCTTTATGAAAGGTCTCATCTCTCCTCTCAAGGCAGCCTGAAGTCAAATCACTTGATACTTACCTTTCAAAACTCTGTTCAAGTGCTGTTATGAATGCAAGAAACTGGGACAGACTATAGTAGATTGTCTGCATGTGTGTCTCATAGAATAAGGACATATTTTTAATAAACATACCTAGAAAAAAAAGGTGCTGGATTATATAACTGCAGTAGAATATAGCAATCTTATTATTAGTATAAATCAAAGATTTCAATCTGCTGGTGCTGCATGAACGCCAGAGGACCTTCAAAGTCCCATCTTCAGCGGCCCATAAGGGTCAACAAAATGTTATGGAAATCTAAAACAATCTAAAAGATAAAGCAAAAGGTGTATCCTTTGGGAACTTGAATGACTAATGGAAATGTTATGATAATATTGACAAAGTTAACATTTTGCCCTGCAAGTGGCACAACAAAACCTAAAATGATGTGAAAAAAGTTTTATGTTTAAAATATACCAAAATACACACGCATTAGCTGCTTTATATTTGAAGAAAAATTATTATTTGGGTTTTGTCCATTACTACATACCATAGCAGATGGTAGAGGTAGAAGAAGTAAGGTATAAGGTTGAGCTTCTCCATGTCGTCTTTTAATGGCGAGGGATGCGTTTCCATGGAAACGGCATATGATGAAACCCCATAATTGACGTAGCTGTTGAGGGCTGGACCGTTAACAATTATCTGAAGTGTGGTGCAGTTTTGAACCTTTTCATAGGCGTTACGACAACATCGTGTTTTATGGCGAGGGATGCGTTTCCATGGAAACGGCATATGGTGAGATTTCAGATTTGAAGTAGAACTGTTGAGGCATGGAGAGGTGACATACAGGTGAAGATTGTGGGACGACCGGACCGTGTCCATTGGAGCTACAGCGTCATTGTGTTTTAATGGCGAGGGATGCGTTTCCATGGCAACAGCCTATGGTGAGATCTCAGATTTGGCGTAAAGCTGTTGAGGCATGGACCGGTGATATACAAGCGATGTTTGGGGGACGATCGGACCGTGTCCATTGGAGTTACAGCGACATCGTGTTTTATGGCGAAGGATGCGTTTCCATGGAAACATGACACCTCATAATTGACGTAGAGCTTTTGAGAGCAGGACCATTAACCATTATCTGAAGTCTGATGCTCTGAGCATGTCAATTGGAGTTATGACATCATCGTGTTCCATTATACAGGTGTTTATATTTGAGCTAACGAAGTGTCCAGAGATCAAAGGTTTTCATGGTGATCAAATAAATGTGGCAAAGGCTCAAATTTGTTGAACACATTTGTAACAGGTTTGTTAATTGACCAAAAAATATGAACAGTTGGAAGATTGAAAATGGAATTATTATTATTAGGATTATTGTCATT